GTTTTCTCTGATTAAAAATTGCAAATTCTCTGATTAAAACCCAAAAATCCATGATAAAAATTAAAGGCCCCCCACAGTGCTGCTGGTGCCCCACACTCCCCCCCACAGCCTCAACACCCCTTCTGATGCCCCTCACAACAGCCCCCCAGACCCACAGGCACAGAGGCACACACAGACACCCACCCCAGCAGGTAAGTGTGTGGGGGGAGGGGCGGGGCAGGATGGGGGGGGGGGAAGGTGCTAGGGGGGTAGATCAAGAAGGGGGGAGCATGCCCCTGTGCCCACTCCCAGGAGCAAGGCCAGGGGGTGAGGGCAGGGGAGCCACTCTGTGGGCCACATGTGCCGGCCGCCTGACAAGGGGTTCACACACGGAGGCTACCACCGCAACTCTGCCACTGCACCCTGCGCTACCATCCCATGGCCACCCGCACGGCTTTGTGGGCAAGTGGCACAGGGCTTATCCTAGAGGTAAGTGGGGCTTGGGGGCTGTGTGGCAGGGCTGGGGAAGGTGGCTGAGGGAGCGGGGGGTGCTGCCGGCCCCAGGTGGCACACTGCAGCCAGGTGCAGGGCCAGGGGCTGAGGGCAGGGGTGCCCCTCTGTAGAAGGCTTTACGGGTAAGTGATGCAGGGCACATGTGCTGCCCAGCCAGCTGCCTGGGGGAGGGGGAGGCTGGCATGCAGCCGGCTGCACAGCTTTGTGGCCAGGTCTGCAGCAACGGCGAGGGATGGTGGCTGGGGGGACAGGGGTGGGCTCACATGCGGCAGCCGCTGCTGCTTACCTGTAGGGCCGTGCCAGTGGCGACTAGGATCCGGGGGCAAAGGATGAGTCTAAGCCTGAGCCCAGCCTTGGCTGACTCAGAGGCTCTTTGCAAAAGCGGAGAATCAGTGGATTTCTCTGCTAAAAAGGGAAATCCACATTTTCTCCGATAAAAACAGGGAATCCGTGGTTTTCTCCATTTTTCCATGGGAAACGGAAAACCCAGATCCCTGCTTATAACCTGGGGCAATCAGTTACGGTCTTTAGCAAAAATGCATGTTTACTCTCATTTTCCCCAAGCCTGGTGAAATACCTGTGTCTTAGAGCTTGTAATAGCTGTGAGTGCTGCCCTCTGTTGGCAGTGATGACAAACGCAGATCTGCCTTCCTCTCTTGCTCCAGAACCGCTTGACTTCCTTTGTGTTTAGAAAGGAAGGAATGAAATGAATCCCCCAATGCGCACAGCAAGAATGCAAATCAGAGAAGCTGGGTGGAGTATTAGTTAATACTAGGATCAGTTTCATTGCTCTTGCAGATAATGCCATGCTCTGCTATTACAGTGAAGATAAAGATAACAGAATATAGAAACTTGCATCTCTAAGCTCCCAATTCAGATTTTGAGCAAGGAGGTAATAGCCAAAGGTTGTTACCATTTGGCCTATATGAAATGATTTGGTGTTCTCATTCTCATCCCTAGTGGACAGGCAAACACACCGTTCCAAAGCTGCTATCACAGAAGGCAAGGAGGTCAAAGACTGGGCTAGAGGCTGAGTGATGATCACCTCCTTGCTTCCTAGGAGTGGCTCCCCCAGAAATGAGCTGAAAAATCTTGGTGTGAAAGAAAGCATGGGTGTTTGGAGCACTGTCTTTGCTAATGCTATGATGTTCAGGGGGATATTAGAGGACTTTGTATGGTAGAGAAGTCAAATCCATCACCTTTCTTCAGACATTCGTCATATAAATGTAAATGGAGATACTTACATTAGCAGCATTTTGTTGTCTGAATGCTTGTCTCGGGAGATGACAGCGCCTTCTAGATTCTGCCTAACTTGATTACTCAACTGAATAAAAATATTAAGGGATAGCAGGAACACCACCAAATCCTTCACATGGGAGGAAAAGAGTCACTGCCAAGAGATGATGGCAGGCAACAGAGACCTCCTGAATCTCTTTGCTATGATTCCATTTAAACTGCTCTACACCGTGGGGTTTCCCTGCTGCTCATCCCCCTGAGTGCACAGTTCTGCTAAACCTCACAAGCACTTGGGTTTTAGAAGTGCCGTGCGCTGACAGAGCAGGGAACTCCCTGAGCACGGGGGAGTGTGAATGAAGCTGCCAGCAGTAGCATGAAAAGAGGAGTTATTGGGTATTGCCACCTTCAAAAATCAGATGTATTAGCAGCATTCCAGCAGAGCAGTTATGATCAAATAGCTGAAACCAGCAAGTAGTATTATGTAAAACACAGGTGTCTGACACTGGCCCCACCTCAGCTTAGCAAAGCAGCTACACACCCTAAGGTCTTTGTTTCAGAAGGATTCCTGCATGCTAACTGCCCTTAGACATAACCATTACAAATGCATACAGTGGATGTCATAAGCCATGTTGCAATACCTATTATGGGCACTTAAATCCTGGACAGAAAGGCTTCTCAGGATTTGCTTCTGTCCCACCACCACTGTAGAAAATCGCTTTGTGAGCTGGCAGGATCCAGGTTTCTTTTCCTTCTGTTTTTCAGAGTTGTTCTGAACTGTGACCTGTCTGATGTTCTGTCCTGAATCCTGTCTCCCTTTCACACCAGGTTTGAAGACAGTGTCCTTCAACTGGGTGGCTTCTGCCCTTTGACATTGACGCATTTTTGCTCTGTCTTTATTGTAAAATTAGAGAACTAGACTTGTGAAAACAAAAGGGACAGGTTGACTTTATAGTCGACATGAGACCATAGTTAAACTTGCTAGTCTGCAAATGATAAGTAAAAATCAAAGGTCTAATATTAATGGTGAAGTGTGTGTGTGCACGCACGCATGTGCGCGCGCACATATGCATATGTTAAATTATTGTATAAAGATTTTTATTGGTGTGGCTAGATATGCTCTTAAATAGCCAAGCATGCAGGAGTCTACCCAATCCAGGGTTTATCATGCTAAGTGTTCTGACTAACTACTACTTGTCTCAAGTGTTTCTGTCTTAAAGGGTTTGTCCACACACTTATATGAATGGGTACCACTAAAGTGGTATATGGATATCTCTGCTAGCTTTAGTCTTAGTTTGTGTAATAACAGCAGCAAAGATGTAGAGGCACAGGCTTCAGCATGAACTGGTAACCTAAAGGTATAGCATGCATACCAGTTGACTTCTACAGCCAGCCTTCCTAAGAGTGTTGCCCATTAGGGCTGTGCGAAGCTTCAGTCCCTGATTCGATTTGGCAGAGATTCAGCCCAATTTGGTGGCCAAATCTCTGAATCTGAATCTAAACAGAGGACCTTTTAATCTCTCCAAATCAATTCAGAGAGAGTTGAACAGATTTGGCGATTCGGACATAGACACAGCTTTAAATGTTTTTTCTGCGTACCTCTAGGTATCAGGGGCTCTGAACACTGCAATGCTGGGGCACGTGCAGCATCTCACAGAAGCATGGGGGGCTCCCCAACGTGCTCAGCAGTGCACCCAGAAGTGCACCAGAAGCACTTCTGGTCCACTTCCTGGTCCACCAAGGAGCATGCAGGGGTGGTGCCTGGGCTCCCCCGGCTCAGTGACTGATGCCTCCTGGGTCTGAGGGGGGCACCCAGGGTCCCCCTGCAGCTGATTGCTGAGCCAGGAGGGCATGGGAGTGGCCCCCCAGAGCGCTCCCCGGCAGACCCAGAAGCAGACTGGAAGTATTTTCAGTCCACTTCCGGGATCGCTGCCGAGCACCTGGCGAGCGCCGCCCGTGCTCCTGTGGGACGCTTCATCCACCCCAGCACCACAGCAGTCACGAGCCATGCGAGGTATGTAGAAAAAACTTTTCAAGCTGTGACTGTGCCCGAATCACTGATTCACCAAATCAGCATTGAATCTTCATATTTGGATTCAGCCAAATCAAATCAGGGACAGCGATCCGAATCAACAGATCAAATCTCTGTCCCCAATTCGGGCTGAATCTGAATCCAAATCAAATAGGGCCTGTTTCACACAGCCCTATTGCCCACGAGAGCTAGAGAGAAGCTAGTATGGCCATGTGCTACAGTCAGACCTTCACTTCGCTTCATTTCTACCAAAAGCTTAGTGTGCCCCTCGTCAGGGTTTATGCAAGGTAATGGCAAGGAGAAGCACCAGTTGAATGAGCAGATGATTTCCTTATAGCCAGTGACAGCAGGCAAATGGCCTGGATGATTTACCATGAGGAAATGTTGACTCATTCCTAAAGAACGTCAGCAGTGCACTTTTACCTGGTCTGGGACACCCACACATGTATTTTTGGACCTGCTTGTCAATTGCTTCTTGGAGTTGTGCTTGTTTGCAGTGCAGGGAGCAGAGGCAGAGGAAACTCTTGTTTTTGAAATAGGAGTGGGAGGTCAGGGAAAGGCAGAAAAGAAAATGTGAATGACCTGGTGCCATTGGGACCAGAATTAACGTCTGATCAAGAAATGAGGAGAAAATAATGCCAGAGAGTCAGTGTGGTGTTGAATAAAAAAGGATGTTTTGATTTGTTTTCCTTTCATGAAAGGAAGGATCAGTCAGTGCTAGTTGCTATAGCTTAGGATATGGGGAACTGGTTAAATTCTCTACTCTGCCATAGACTTCCTTATCATTTAATATTTCTCTGTTTCTTGGTTCCTCCCTTGGGATAATAATGGGCCTAATAACAGTTTCCTAAGTCACTGGGTGTTGTGAGGATTGCTGCATTAGAGAATGTGAAGCACTCTAATATTATGCTGATGGGACCATCAAAGTACTGTAGGTAAAGTAAACGACTAGCTTTACAAAATTGGAAATCCAGGTACAGCCAAAAAATAATGTTGGGGGAAGGGACTACTGACTGCTGCCACCTTGTTCCAACTAAACATGGCAAGATGAACACATTTTAAACCCCCTCATTTCCAATGTCTTATAAAGCTACATTGCATCTCAGCTGAGAAATGATCCCCAGGGATTTTATCCTGCCATTTTACAGTGCAGACACAGTGGGCTTTCTGCCCTGTATCAGAGAGCCCCTGTAGAGAATGGGGCAGGAAGATAAACCTGACAAGTATCCTGAGCACACCATCACCCAAACCAAAAGGAGATCCCTGGTGGGGATCATGGCAGGTGCACTCACCCAAGAAATTACCTGTTGTGAGGAAGAGCAGACTATGGGGTCCAGGGCAGAAGTGGTAAGGAGTCATCTCGGGGTTGGCTCGTGGTTGCACCACTGTTGCCAGCACTGGAATATTTGGTGTCCAGCTGCTGTGGGGGGGGACGTGCCCCGTTCCAGAACGTGCAGACAATGGACATTCCATGCCACTGCCCAGGAACTCCGAGGTGGGAAGTGGTTCAGGTGCTGAGCGTCCTGCCCTGCCCTGGGCTAGGGGCAGGCAGGCCTCTAGAGCCTTCACCACAAGGCCGGAGAAGCCGTGGTTTGAGGATTTTCCTTCAGCACCAAGGATAGTTCCCCGTATCCTGGATAGTTCCCCATATCCTGGCTCCGTCTTGGCAAGGGAGCAGCTGGATTCCTGTTCCTGCCCTCTTTGGTGTGGGTATTGGGACCCATGGAAACCCCCCAGATGCTAAGGGTAGGACTTAACCCTGAAACATCCGTTTATGATGGGTATGGAAATGGATCCTCTCTCATTTTTGGTAAGGAAGATGAGGTGTCCTTATCTTGATAACTGGAAGAAGAGGAAGTCTATTCTTATCTATCATAGGAACAGCTGTCTAGTGGAAGGAGAGTCCTTTCCTGAGCTATAGGAGAGCAATAGGGAGGGTTGTTTCTTGGTTCTATGGGTGCTGGGATATGAGGAACTCTGAGAGGCTTCTCTTGGCCCCCGAGAGGGAAGGGGGAGCAGATCTTACATAGCTTCACAAGGATGGACCTTGTTTTAATGCCCTCTCTAATCAAATACAATCAAAAGTGGGGCCTATGGTCTGACCAGGGAAAAAGTGTAAGAACCTGAATTCACCATAATGGAATAATAAAATATCCAGGGCAATTTTCCCTGCAGTCTCCAAAGTCATCTCATACGCATCTGCTTTGTATTGGACATACCATGTAATGTGGGTGACTGCTGCTTCCTCTGGCTCTCAGAAACACATGCAAAAACATTTTGACATGATAAATAATTGTAAAATCCCTCCTTTTTCTGCTCATAATTACTGGATCCAAGCAGAGAACAAGGAACTCCAGTGAACTCCAAAGACTTCAGACATGTTGTACCTGCTTACCCCTGTGGTCTGCTTAGCCCCATCTATTCAAACTAAAATCATTTGCAGGGTTCCTTAAGGAAGCACAAAGCATTTGTCATCCCTTTGGCAAATGTGAAGCAAATCAAAATGAGATACGTGTTTCTGTTCCCAAAGGTATTTTTTGGGATGGGAACAATCACTAGTTTCAATAGCGCTGACAGAATTATTCACTGCAAGTAGTATTTACTGTGAAATTAACTCTTTCCTTCTATTTTTAATCATTCACAAACCAAACCTTATTTTTATGAATGAACACGTTCAGAACTATTCACCAAACCATTTGGAAGAACAATTTCCAACCTAGGGATTGTTCACTTTAACTATAAGTAATGGCTGATTACTCCCCTACTTCAGATGGTATTATTGCTGCTCCTGGATTGGATTAAATTGTTAACATGTGATTAAGATATAGCAAGTAATAAATCATGAGATCTCTGTGGCTTTAGGACCAAAGAATTCTTGTTCTAAATTTCATGAGACTTTCATGAATGTTTTGAGACATAGCCTCTAATTGCCTGAATGCTCATGGTTGTAATGGAGTACAGTCAGGCTCGTTTACTCCTGACTGTACTCCCCAGTCTGGGATGGAAGAATTATTATGAAACCAGTTGTGATTTTCATAACAACAATTCATTTTTTTTCTAGACTTTGTTTTGTATTCCTAAGATGCAGCACCTGAACGAATTAAACTCTTACAGCCAAATTGTGGCCCCTTTTACTCAGACCAGTAAACTGGTACTCACATGAGTAGTGCCATATGAGGTCACTATTGTGAACAAAGGAGTTGTAATATGTCCCTTATTAACTAAAAATTGCAAAGCGTAATCTTATAAAATGTTAGTACAGTATTGCCTTCAGTGTAATATGACTTAAACAGTGCATCTGAACCTATCTCCTGCAGCCTGGCAACGGTCTTTGTTGCTATAGAAACATGGTTCCCCATTCTTTCATGTTGAACTTCAAGTATTTCCCTCCCTCTAGATAACATTTTATTAGTTGTCACATACCCTCCGTTGTTATTTTCTTCACTTGTTTTCATGAATAATAGGCTGTCTTCCCAAATTGTGCAATTAAAAGAGAAAGTTATTCAGCATGGCTTGTCTCATAGATGGAAGACGACTATTTAATAGATGAATTCAAGTTGAAAAGGTTTTACTTTACAAGGCCATTTTGGATAGTTAACTATAGTTGCATGTGTTTTAATACAGAGATTGTGGACGTCCATTTAATGTGCATCCCTTTGTGTTTTAACATACTTAATAGATGAGCTGTGTTTAAAAGAAAGCTGTTTTTAAAAATGGCTATTGTATGTGCATATCCAATAGAGCAAATATTGTATATAACAAATAGCTTTGGAGTTCAGTGTGATGTGATGCTCAGGTACTGTAGCAACAAAGTCTACGTGAACAGAGATTCAAAGAGTTTAGGAGAAATA